GCTGGTCTTAATGTCCTTATCGGAAACCTATTTCAGCAATTATAAATGTTTAATAGTCTCAAATCTATTTATGACCAAAGAAAGTCCGCTAGCTGCCTAGTGCAAAGAGTTTGTGACAGTTTAGGAATGCAACACGACGCCACCAATTAATTTATTTCTTGGCCATTGCATTCAATCTCTGACCTGGACAATCATCATATCCTCACAATGGGAGAATAATATTTTGCTGCAGATTTATGTTACACTGTAGCAAACTGTGGTATTGATGCACTACAGCTTTTTGTAATAAATTAACAGAATTATATGATAAAGATTCAGCCTGTAACTTTTTCCTCTGAATGCATCTATTCTCATTCTTCTGTCATCTTCTTATCTTTTACCAGAGCAAAGTTCTTTATGTTAACTTTCATCTGAAAATGGCTGGCTTAGACTATATGCAGACAGTATTACACTTCAATTTTTATTGGGAATCCTCCCCGCCCTTATTTTCTTGACGTGGATACTGGGAGTGATCTGACATGGATACAATGTGATGCTCCATGCACCAGCTGCGCTAAGGTACATTTACTCTACTAGTTTTATATGCAATTAGAATTATTTTCTGTAATATTTTTTTTATGTATACATTGTAGTTGTTTTCCTAATAATTTTTGTGGTTATTTATTATATTGCATATGGTTTAAAAAGGATGCTCCTTGTGGATCACATTGTCTAGAAAAATCAAATGTTCAAGAAAGCTTAGATATCAATTTCTAGAAGAGTTTCTCGTGTTTTAAATATTCAGGGTCTTGAACCCTCGAGTCGACTCCTACACCTATTACACTACAATAGAACATGCTGCTATCAGATCATGATGCATTAGTATTACATTATAGTGATGCCATTTACTCCCAACAATAACGCCTCGTTTGATACGTGGGAATGAAGTCAATTGAGAATGAAATGAAGGCATGGGTGAATGGAATAGATGTTAGAATGGAATGCCCATTCACATTCTCATATTTGGGCGTGTTTAGAGAACGAAGCGGGAATGACAATCTTATTCTCATTCCCACGTTTGATATCATTTATTCATAAGTGAGAATAAAATTTAGTTTTCTAATAATGCCCTTACAATAACACAGAATTTTAAAAAACATAAACATATTTTAAAAATGACTAAATAATTTATTTTTTGAGAAAATAAGTTTTGTAGAAATGATTTTTTTCTTATAAAAATAAATTTTCCTGTGATAGTTATATTTTGGCACATTGTCTCAACAACAATTTTGGACTTTTGGCTTACTAATTGAAAAAATAATTTTCATAGAAATTATTTTTTATTGTAAATAATTATAATTTCACATTTCTAACTTTTAATGCTACATGTCTATTATTTGTACGAGTAGCTAATGTTACTAGCATAGATTCAAAAAGGTTTCTTATCTAGATGCCAACATGATTGCCAAAAAAAAAGACTTGATAAAATAGGAAAACATCAAAGTTGTATCTGTAAGATCTACAGACCCACCAATACCCACCCACGATAATCAAAATGTGTCTACTAAATTGTGAATAATCGAGCTCCCTTCACAGCATCTCCTAATAAAAGAAATTTTGAGATTTCATGTTTAGGGGAAAAATTGAAGGAAAAAAATAAATAAAGAAAGTGCACTACATCATCCATATGTCCAAAATTAATGTAAATGATAATATCCATAGTTTAAACTTTTATATGCATAAACTATCCCATTCGACAAATTATTAGAAATATTCAAATTCTAATCAAAATATCCATAAAATAATACCAGCAAAATTATTGCACAACCATCAAAGTATCAAAATATTATGTTTTGAAATTACAAAACGATAAACTAGTCTATAACTCCAAAGTGCCACCTAATACTCCTTGCCATATCGCCTCACCCATGTCTCTTTTAGATTATTGCTAATTGTGAAGAACAAATCTATCAAATTTCGGTTACTACCAATCATCTCTATTACTATAAAACACTGACCCATAGTTAAATTCATTTTCATTACTTGTTTAATAAATCTTTGTCTCTTCTCGTACAAACTCAGTTCATCTAAACCATCCTTGATCAATTGGCTTGATTTAACAAGCTCACTTCCCATATATGCACTAGTTTCCCTCATGATCTCTCGTAATGAACCACTATCTCTAGACAAGCGTCTCTTTCTTTTTCGCTTCAAGGAGACATTACTTGTGTTTCCTATCGTTGCATCTTGTGAATGTGAGTCAATATCAATAAAATCTTCTCCGACCCCCTGTTCAGTCTCTTGACTAACTTGTTTATCCAATTCCTCTGTAACGTCATTAGGATGTTTCATTCCTTTTTCTGTTGCCCCATCCTTCCCGAACACAATAGCCAAAGTTTCATAGTGTGGAAAAGGTCTCTCTGAAAGGTATTGCATTTTTGTGGGCCTACATTAAGATTAAAAAAATCATTAGTCCTTAATAAAAAACTGTCAAATGTAATAATGATCATGTGATAAATTAAAATTTAATAACAAAATACCTACAAATATTCATCCTAAACTTCTTTTTTAGCAGTTACATATTGCTTAGTTGCATCCCATCCAAAGCCACTGCAGTTAAGCATATCAAACACAATGCTTTATCCTTAATCTAAAATGCGGATCGGTCTTTAATCCTGAATTGGGTAGTGATTTAGAAAGTAATCTTTTAATAACATTGTAGTGTCCAAGCTTGAATCCACGATCAGCATAGTACTTTCATGTGTTATGTAAATCCAACGGTGCATCAACCAATTTAGGATCTTCCATAGTAGTCCATGTGTGCTTATTCCGTCTAGGATCTTGTTGGTCTTCTTAATCCATTCCTAAACAATATATTGCTTATTTATCGCTTACCACGTCTCTACGTTTCTTTTAGTATATGTAAATTTTTCCTGAAGCATTAACCTCTCGAGCATAACAATATTAGATAATAGCAAATCACTATATTGTTAAAAAACAACCATAGATCTATATTACAAATTGTATTACATATAATAATAAATAATTCCATGTAAATATCCATGATCATTAAGAGTAGTAAGCTTTTCAACATGAGCATGAGTCAATTAGTAATAACTAAATTATTTCACAAAGGAAAAAAGTTGTCAAACTAAGAGCTTGAATAAAAATAAAAATCATTGTTTCCATGATTAAGTTTTGTACGTAAAAAAAGAAGGAAAAACATATGACAAACAAAAAAACCAAATCATTATTGTTACCCTATCCACTGGTTATACATAGAATTTGTAAGGTTATCTCCCCACTAAGTCCAATCTAAAGTAGTTTCAATTGCTGTGATTGGATCATTGCCATTGATAATTTGAATTGTTTCCTCCAAACAATCAAGACATTCTTCAAATGGATCAACCTCCATCTCCCTCCTTATATAATTATGAAAAAGACTACATGTCATGATTATTCGATTTTGTATCTTGATAGGGTAAAATGAAGGACTATGTAGGATCGCCCATCTTAATTTAAGCAACCCGAAGTATCTCTCAATAACATTTCTAGCTAATGCATGTTTCATATTGAAAAACTCCTGTGCAGTTGTCGATTGGTGTCCGTCTCTCCATTCATTCAAGTGATAATGTTGGCCTCTCTATGGTGCAAGGAAACCATCACAGTTTGTGTATCCCGCATCAACAAGATAATAGTAACCTATGGTTTGACATATCAATTATCTAAATATTAGTGAATTTAACAGTTGCTAGAAGCAAATATTATATAAATTTTAAGTTACCTACTAAGGGGGATTTTTAACCCATTTCTTCTAGTTATTGCTTCTTGAAGTACTCTACTATCAGCCGCTAACCCTTCCCATGCAGGTAGTATGTATATAAATTGCATGTTTTGAGAACATACACCCAAGACATTTGTTGCAGTTTCACTTTTTCGTGTCCTACACCTAGATTTGTCCTCCACAACTACTCTCACTCTTATATAGGTTCCATCTAAAGCTCCAAGACGATCCTAAATATAAGTGAAAATTTGCATGTTAGATTACTTATAAAAACTAAGAAATACAAATAAAAAATAATTTATAGATTACCTTGAAATATTTCCACCTCGTTACTATTGAGTCTATTGGCACTGGATCAGGTTTTTGGATTAGGACATTATTTAGACGTATCACGACATGTGTCACATGAGTAAAATGCCTACTAATAGTTTCCCTTGAACGTTGAAACATTTGTTTTATGACCCTATTCTTCACATGGTGGGCAAGGATATGTAGAAACATTACAACTTGTTCGTCTACCAATATATTTTTTGTATCTTTCAGCCCTACATTTTCTAGCATAGTGGACAACTTTCTAAAAGAGCTCCTGTACATTCTAAGCTGATCTAAACAAGTTACATCACTCGCATATGCAAGATGATACCATGATACACATTTTTTCTTTTGGAATAAATATCTATCAAATATTGCTCTCTTAGTTATTTCTTTTCTACGTAGATTTTTGTTAGGTGTGATGAGAAAAGAAACCACCATGCCACTATACTTTGCATATTTCTCAGATGTGTTTGGACAACCACCAACTTCTTCACCTTTCTTCGTTTATCATCAGAATCCATAATGTGAAATACAACTACTGCATAAGGGTAAATAGGTATATTTATTTTAGAATGTAAGTATTTTAAATAAATCCTAATAAATAATACTTTAAAAATATTTGGATAAATAAATTTATCCCTAATGTGCTTGTAGTTATTTTAATGGATCTCTTTTATATGCCATATCTAATATCTTTGACTCCTTTATTTTGCAACAAACTTCATTTCATGAGGTTGTCATTAATGACAACCTTGTAAATAACTTATTCTAGACTTACTAATGTGTTTCATTATCCATAGTAAAATCACAAGTTTATAGCCTTATATTTAACTAATCATAAGGGTTATATTGCAAATAGACCCCGCATAGTTCTATATGTGGCAAATAAACCCCTTTAATGTTGGTCCTAGTGCGAATACACCATATTACTTAGTAAACTTTTTCTACTCTTTTAAAAATTATAAAATTAGCAATTAATGGTCTATCCTCACCAATAGGGCTATAGGGGGTCTACTCACCTCCTCAAACCTTTTTAACAATTTGAAGAGCGAAGGGAGAAAAAGAAAAAGAAAAATCACTTATGGAGTCTATTTGCAAAAGTAGAACTACAGGGGGTCTATTCGCAATTGGGTGATACTAAAGGGGGTTTGTTCGAAATTAACCCCAAATGATATGTCAATATACCTTGTTGCTTATTGTAACACACAACATAAGTCTTAAAAATTTATACAGACACTTGACATGTTGCAAAACTAAACAAAAGCAGAAACATACACAATAGAACATGATCTATGACTTAATGCCATATGCATGCATGAAGAGAGAGATAAGAAGAAAACACTAAATTTTGAAGATTAGAAAAACACGCTAACCTTTAGTCTGACTATGAAATTTCTATGAAATTTCAAATACACCTTTAACTTTCAAAAATTGATTAGGAATAGAAAACATGTTAACCTAGAAAGTTTGAAGGAATAAAAAACATGTTAACCTCTAATCAAAATATAAAGTTCCAAACACACCTCCCATCAATTAAACACGTTGTTTCTTGTTGTGAGTGCTTTGAAAAATTGTTGTAAAGATCTAGGCATCATATGCTTCAATAGAACTTCAAACCATATATCCAAAGGTAAAATTACATCACGTAATATAATCCTGAAATATTAGCCATACATGTATATTTTAAAAAGAAACAATAATTACCTATGCTCGCTGAGTCTCGTCGAGGGGAAGACGATGATTTTTTCTACTTTAGTTGTAGCCGTGATGTGGAACTAGGGAAAAGTCGAACACATAACACTATTTTAATATTTTATATCTATCCGTATCTTTTAAGGAGGGTATAATCAAAACTTATTTGATTATTTTCATTCTCACTTAAATGGGAATATCAATTCCTTATTAACTGATTGGGAATGACAATTCCCACATGAAGTGGGAATAACAATTCTAGCATCTAAAAATACATTGTGTTTGGTAGGCATGAATAAAGAGCTGAAATTGCATTCCTTTTCCACTCATTCCTGCATAGCAAACGAGGCGTAAGTGTAAATAACTAACTACATAGCTTTGTGCTTTTCCTCCAAACTAAAGTATAAGTTTGAAATTCTAAATATATAAACTGGTAGAAATTTAAAAAACAAATAAAAGGATACCTTAATAGATAAATAACAACTTGTTTATCGTGCCACCATGCTATTATTTCTTTATTAAATTGCAGATAACCTCCCTCAATCTATATATTCAGTAGCATTTATCACTCACCTTGTATATTAACATTTATCATCCCACAAGTCATTGGAATAAGGAGTTTATCTGCAATGTATCCTTCTCAAAGTGTCAACCTGGGATGATAACTGCTAACAAACAAGTTACAGGGATGATAAGTGCTACTAAAACATAGATTAGGAGGGTTATCTACAATTTGACTTTTGCTTTTCTATTTAATTTTAGTTCTACTTTTTTGGGGGTCAGATATGGACCATTGGACATGCAGGGTTAATTTCTTATATAATTTTGTATTCTAGGGTGCATTTAAATTTTTTAAATAAAGTTACATATTTGGTTTATTCAACTTTTGTTTTTCTATTTAATGTCACTATTATTTTTTGGGGCAATCAGATATGGAACATTGGACATGCATGGTTAATTTCTTATATAATTTTTGCATGCTATGGTGCATTTAGAATTTTTTAAATAAAGTTACATATCTGGTTTATTTGTTCCTCGAATCACTGTACACCAAACCCCCTAATTTTTGCTATTGTAGATATTTCCCTTTATAACATTGTAAAATCATATTATTAGGGGCCTCATCCACTCTACAAGCCAACCAAAGGGAAAATAGTTCAGCCAAGGGACTCATTGTGCCAGGAAGTTCAGCGTAACTTGAACAGTAAATATTGTGATTCCTGCCAGCAATGTGATTATGAAATAGAATATGCGGATCATAGCTCCTCTATGGGTGTACTTGCACAAGATGATATGCATCTTGTCATAGCAAATGGTGACAGGGCAAGATTTAATTTTGCCTTTGGGTACGCACATTGACAACCTATAAAACTCTGCAATAAACTTTTTTTTTCATTGCTACAAGCAACGTATAACGTTGTTCAGTATTGATTTACGTACTTGTTGAAAATAGGTGTGCATATGATCAACAAGGTCAACTTCTTGCTTCTCCTGCAAAAACTGATGGGATCCTTGGACTTAGCAATTCTAAAGTTAGCCTCCCTTCTCAATTGGCAAATCAAGGAATCACCAATAATGTTGTTGGTCATTGTATTACGAGTGAAGCAGATGGTGGTGGGTATTTGTTCTTTGGTGATGACTTTGTACCACGCTGGGGTATGACTTGGGTTCCTACAGTTGGCAGCCTTATGTGAGCAATATTCTTTCCAGTTATCTCTACTTAGGAAGTTCTTAATGATGCTCATTGTGTTTTTGTTATTTGTAGCAGCATAATTATCGATTTCATTTGAACTTCTTTTGAAGGTTAACTTTTTATAAAACCCCCTTTAGGTTTGACGGATTTTGAGCTAACCCCCCTTAACTTTAAAAATGTCGCTTAACCCTCCTTAAGGTTGAATTGTTTGGGAAACACCTGAACATTTTTTTATTTTTCAACAAGCCCCCTAACAGTGTGAGATGAACCGGTAAAAAGACCAAAATATCCTTTTCAAATAGACACTACAGGTATTAAAATTAATTAATTAAACACCTATCCCTAATAAAAGAGAGAGGAGAGAGATCATATAAGTATCGAGAATTAGGCAATTGTAGTATGTATGTATGTACATATGTATATGTATAATTGTGCGTGTGCGTGTGTGTGTGTGTGTGTGTGTGTATCCATCAGGAGCATTTGGTCATTTGGACGCGTGTGATTTTCATGTGCATCATCAGATCTAGCTGTGTCAGTAAGGGGGGTATCTGACAAAACCTAGGGAGGAGGATTAAATGAACTTCTTAAAGTTATGGGGGTTTATCTCAAAAATGGCCAAACTTTAAGGGTGGTGTTGTGAAACTTACCCTCATTTAAATTTGCACGGATAAAAGACTCTTCGTTTTTTTGTTAACAAATACATGATTAATATGATTTCCTTCTAGCTCCAACATTTTCTTTCCTCCTGCACATCTCAGAAACTACTACCAAACAGTGGTTCTCAAATTAAGCTATGGAGACAAACAAATCAATCAAGCAAGAAAGGGTGCCAATGTGCGTCGAGTAGTGTTTGATACTGGCAGCTCCTATACATACTTCCCAAATGACGAATATGCCAATTT